GTAGGACTTTTATTTCCCACCCACATACACAGCATTTACACTCTGACACTGTATAAAGTGATTTTTAAGTTTGCCTCGGGGTCATAAAAAGGTTAAAGAACAGGAGTAAACCCAAGAGACAGACTCAGTCGGTGTATATGTGTGTCTACAGTCTGCAGCACTGAGAGAGTGTCTGTGTCTCCTTGGAGGGTAGAGCAGTGAAGCATTTCTTTCTGAGAGTCTTAACTGTGTTCAGCTGACAGTGTCATAGTGTTTAAGCAACAATCAGATGCTGGTGATTATCATCACCATTCAGACAAAACACAGACCACACACATGGACACAAATAGTAAAAAAAAAAATAAAATAAAATCTAGTTACATAGAAAACTTATTATATATAAACATCAATTATACAAATATATACTTTAATAAAAATCAAAAAGGGTCACACTGAGGCCATGTCGGATAGTTACCGTATGTTATAAAATGTAAACTGTGTCTTATTTTGCAGTGTGTCTTAAGCCTTAGGGCACAGTAGAATAGTTAACGACAGAGCATGATGTGTTCATCTCAGACAAAAAGAAAAACTCCGCAGGAACAAAGCTCTCCTCGCCTCACTTGCTGGGTAACTTCTGCATTTCGTTATAACCACTGTTGTTGTATGGTATATGAAAAAGAATGGGCGGTAGCTCTCAAAATCTACTCATACACTGCAGAACGTTCTGGAAATTAGTAAAAATGTTGTAAAACAAGCGTTTTTATATAAAATTTGAGTAGGAAAATAAAATTAACTGCCAATGGAATGAGCATTTTTACCCTTAAAATAAGTATAATTGGATATTATGCACTTGAAATTAAGAGACTTTTTTCTTATTTCAAATATAAATCATCTTATTCCATTGGCAAAGTGTCTCAGCTGCACAATTCAGGAAGAAATGCACTATTTTTAAGAAAAATTTACTTACTTGGATTTACATTTTTTGCAGTTTAAAGTGCTTTAATTTAATTTCAACTGCTTACTTAATCTATAACACAGTAAGCTGTCATCCAAACAGCTCTTTCATCCTGATGGAAAGTGAAAGTATCCCTTGAACACATGTAGTTAGACTGGAAATTAGAACCAAGTGTTGCAGTTACTGCTTTCAGGGCATTTAAAATGTAACCATATTCACCCATCAGCCTAATTAATTTACTTTAATTTAAGTTCAAATGGTAAATGGTAAATGGCATGTACTTATATAGCGCCTCTATTCAAGTCAGGAGACTTGACCAAGGCGCTTTACACTACATTCATTCACCCATTCATGCACACACTCACACGCTGATGGTGGCAAGCTACATTGTAGCCACAGCTGCCCTGGGGCTCACTGACTGAAGCGGGGCTGCCGTACACTGGCGCCACCGGGCCGTCTGACCAGCTTCAGTAGACAATGCAGGTGAAGTGTCTTGCCCAAGGACACAACGACAATGAAAGTCGGAACCGGTGCTTGAACCGTCAATCCTTCGATCCTTCGATTTCAGGGCAAACTGCTACATCCAACGCCACTGTCGCCCCGACAAATCTAAGGACACTATGATAATGTAGAAGTTTATACATAAAATGATTCTCCAATGCGAAGTGGTCACCTAGAGGTTACAGAGCAGAGTGCTTGCATCTTGGAGAGGCTGCAGGATCCTCAGTTTAAAACAAACTACCACTCTGGGTCCAGGTAGGCCTGGATTGTTCCACTGCAAAAAGCGGCTCATTGATCCCTAACCATGGTGGAGAAATTTACCTGGAATTTACAAATACAATGACAAACTATTAGGTTGACATCCAACTAGAAAACCACTCCAATTTCAGCAAAATAAAAATAAAGAAAATGCATGGCTTCAGGATGTTGTAATCACACTTTGAAGGTGAACCAAATTATAGTAAAGTAGGAACAGCACAGACAGAACTACAAAACATCAATTGTTGTTTTAGGGAAGTATAACAACTTTGTGCATGTCTGAATGGTTCTCTTCTAAATGAAGCCTGTTGCATATGAGGATATGATCCAATTTTACTGATTTTGTGCTGATATAAAAACGGTGTTTCATTTTAATTTTCACAATCAAGCACATTTAATACTAACTAAGTTGTTTTCTACAAATGGACATCTGTAACTGATCTGAGATTTAAAAAAAAAAGATTGACCTATTGTGATCTCAAATTAATTAATAAAGTACTACAATCTATAGTGGTTCTCAAAATTCCCCTCTTTGTTTTACGCTCTGCATGCAACAATCCTTTTCTCATTCATAGGTTGCTTAAGGCAAAGACACTTGCAGAGATACATTATTCAAAATGCAGATATTTGATAATTTTACCATTAACGCTCATTTTGTAGCCAAAACGTACTGAACTGAATCTTAGCAGATCAGTATTAGGCCCCAGGCTCCCTGTTTGTGGTGTACGTCATGTAGCCTAGGTATGTGCTGCGGCTCTTTCTGTTTCCAAGTTGCCTGTGCCAGGAATGTCAGTCAGTGACAAACACTGACTGCATATATTGCAATACCAGGAATGTGTTCAAATCTCATATCACCATTAGTTAGTAAAATAAAATCACCATATATATTGATAGTGAGTTATGAGCTGAAATTAAGGCCCCTTTTAACTTGATGTCAGCCTCCAGTCTTCCTCAATACATGTCTATCATCATGCCACATGTTAAAAATCATCCTTGACAAACTTTGGTAAATCTGGTTAGTCATTAGAACATGGCTTGTTTAGATAATTCCAGTGAAACCATGGTTTATCCCTCTTTATCTGCTACTACTAAAGAGACCTCTGATGAGTTTTGGTCAAAAATGAACTTTGGCTTCAGTCCTTGATGATTTTTAAAGTTGCATTGCCTCCTCAGCAGGCAGTCAAGTTCCACAGAGTCCTGCTAATAACCTAATTTGTTGATTCAGGTGTTTCTATGGTAGCATAACCCAGCCCTTAAAGGAATAGTACACCCAAAACATGATTAGCCTTCATTTTCTACTCACCTCCATGCTGAACAACACTCTGGAGTACTTTTTTGATATCTCAAATGCATCTGGAGATCTGGGAGACTTCTTGCTGTCTGCTGACATTCAAATAATGGAGGTCTATGGCGCCCGAGACAGAAAGGTCCACAAAAGTCCACAAAAACTTGTCAATATTCCTCCATAATGCTCGTCCAATGTAATCCAAGTGTCCTGAGTGGGTAGCATCCAGAATTTACTCGAAACGAAGTCATTTAGAACGTTTTAGAGCCTAAACAGTAGTGTATAGGATTTCCTAATAGCGCCCCCATGCGCGCTCACGATTCTACGGAAGCCGGCAGACCAAACCAGCGCATTCAGCTCGGCAAAGAACTCATGCTCTTCCTCAACACTGAAGTCCTCAGACATTTTTCTTTCGTTGTTTCTTTCTTTGCACAGGTAAACAGCACATTTCTTCTTCTACGCTTGCATTATCGGCAGACCAGACGCTGAATGCGCACTTCCTTCCGGTTTGGTCTGCCGGCTTCCGTAGAATCGTGAGCGCGCATGGGGGCGCTATTAGGAAATCCTATACACTACTGTTTATGCTCTAAAAACATTCTAAATGACTTCGTTTCGAGTAAATTCTGGATGCTACCCACTCAGGACACTTGGAATACATTGGACGAGCAGTATGGAGGAATATTGACACGTTTTTGTGGACTTTTATGGACCTTTCTGTCTCGGGCGCCATGGACCTCCATTATTTGAATGTCAGCAGACAGCAAGAAGCCTCCCAGATCTCCAGATGCATTTGAGATATCAAAAAAGTACTCCAGAGTGTTGTTCAGCATGGAGGTGAGTAGAAAATGAAGGCTAATCATGTTTTGGGTGTACTATTCCTTTAAGGACTGGAATTGGACACCAGTGAGCTAAAATATACAAATGAGCAAACACCAGGAAAAACCTTCTAGAACAGCTAATTGTACAAAAGATACCAGCTGATAATACAAGGACTGAATGTCACAGCTGTATCTAAAGTATTTGGAAATGACAAATCGAGTCATTCTAGGGCTACACCTATTGATTATTTTAGTAACCTATTAATGTATCGATTATTTTATTAATAAATTGATTGATCGAAAAAGAGAAATTTTCCAAGAGCTCTAAGTAAACTAAGATTTGGAACTTTTCTTGCTATTTTAATGATCTGCAAATGGCAAAAAAAAAAAAAAGAAATAAGTACATAAACAATTATTTATATACACATTTTATAGGTCAACAACCTGTTCTTTATTAAAAAAAAAGTATATCTATGTTTATACTTTTAGAGTTTTGTCTTAATTACAGACCATAAGTAATTTAATTTTTTCAGCAAATGGAAGGTTTTAGAGTCCGTGGACTAATGCTCTAGCTGACGTTTCAATTACCAACTTAGCTGATGATTCATTATATATTAATTACAATTAATTATATTATTTGTTTCAAACCAATTTTTTTTCTTTAGTTTAAATGTAGAAATTTTAAACCCACAATACTTAATCATGTAATACTAATCAATAAATGTATCATTTATATGAACTTAAAAAAGCAGCCACTTGAGGAAGGGTTGGTAGATTTTTGAGTTACACTTAATGCTAAGCAAATACAAAGCAAAGCTAGTGATCCTGTAAACAAACCATTAAAGGAAGCAAAGGAGAGATTTTGTGGAGATACATAATCGATTGTTCAGGTTTTCAAAACATTAATTTTCCTCTTCTTTGCAAGATTAAAAAAAAAAGAATCAGTATGCATAAACACACACACAATGCAGACAACTGGCAAGACATGCTTGACAAGTGGAAATTTACCATTTCTTATCTATTTTAACTCACTTAAATCATTGGCAGGTAGATAAAATAAATACAACCTGCAATGTGTCTATAGCACCAAAACAGATTAGTTTAGCTAAAACAAAATAGAATTCCACCATGGTTGAAGGAAAACCTACACAGACTAGTCCATTGTACTCTAATGGTCTCACAGGTTGTGTGTGACTTTTCTTACTCTTGAAGGATCTTGCTCTCAGTTGTCTGGGGAAATCCAAAGTCCATCACTTCATCCATTAGTTCATAAACTGTCACAAAGTTGTCACGAATGCTTTCCTCCTCCAGTTCCTTAAAATACTCCTTAAATACCTACAAGAAGAAAATTAAAATTGATTTTTTTTTATGCACCTTGTCCTGCCACTTTAAACAGTGGTAGTGGAGCCTGTTTCATTACAGTCTGTGCAGATTTGATCTATAGTGTGAAATGATTGATTTAAAAATAAGTTGCAGTGTTTGTGTGATAGGCAGCGAGTAGAAAGGATGAATGCGTATAAGCTTCATACAAATCTATGCATACATGCATTAATGTGTGGACATAAGCTGTATAAAATTTAAATGTTGAGGTGACTGCTAAGAATTAAGAAAATGCTGGGCCCAAAAGCAGCAGCTTAAATCCTGCAGATCAATGATATCATAGCCAAAATAAAAGAGACTCAAAAAGAATGACTCACCTGAACTATTCTATACAGAAAGGAGTACACAAGAGCAGCGTTGGCATTCTTCTTTGTCATTGCCACCACTTAAGGGACAGTTAAGAAAAAAGATATATAGATATATTCCTCCCGCAAGCTGCAACAAGAGGTTTTGCCAAGAAGAAAATTAAACACAGTTGCAGACTTATATGCTGCAAAATGGAACAACTTGGATATCTCATTTAATATTATAAAGTTACCAGAATACATGAGATTCAAAACCAATTAGAAGCATAATTCTGGGATAAGAGACAGCTAAGATGTAAGTCAATGCTCTGGAAATAGTAGTTACTCCCAAATGTAGTATGGTAATGAATTAATAATGTGCTAGGAAGCCTAAGTGTATAATCTCACAGTATAAAAGGGGAGCCGATTCTGTACAGTAAACAGGACATGGCTTACTCTGATTATGATGAGCAAAAACAGACACTGAAATACTCGGGAGCTGCTGGCTACACAAACCAGGAGCATTGGACCTCCTGTGGATTCCTTCCAGGAAAGATAAAATTATACACACATTATAAATAAAAATGACTGACAGGGAGGGGCTGACACTTTGAGGAAGGATTGTCAATCTTTTTGAGAAACTTAACCCATTGGTGAAACGAATGCTACTTTTAGAAAATAATAATAAAAAGAATCACTCAGGAATAAACTTGCATTGGATACAGTAAAGGTTGCTGTGTTTGATCCAGAGGAAATGGGATGAGCCATGGCTGACCAGTGGTGTCATTTCAGCATCCTCCTCCCTCTTCATCAGCATGGGCATGAAGTGGTCGATTTCATTCATGTCCATGTTGCCCATGTAGTTACGGCATATCAAAACCTGGACGGATAACACAAGAGATCAGAGGGAGAGGAACTATTATGGAGCAAACGTCATTAAAGATTCATAGCTTTGCCTGAGATAGTAAACCTGCACTCTAGTCTAAAGCTGCTTCGGGAACCTTTGGCCGAAATTTGAAAGAAAAAAAAAACTCCTCTCAGTTTCTCTCATGAAAATGTACAAACAGTGTCTCATGCCTGAGTGTTTTCCTTCAAGCTTTAATAGACTGATGGATATCTTAGCATGAATGATGAATATCTCCCTGGAAAGAAGAATCAGAGCAGACTGCAGAGAAGTTCACAAGATGATCAGGGTCAAAACTCTAAGAAACCACCCTGCTCCAATTTCTACAAAAAATTGGAGGGTAAAAGTACAGGCACGCTCCAACCCAGTATACCCATAGTTGTGTTGCATACAGTAACATCTTCTTTAAATATCACCAATGGTTTTGGATCATCCAGTCAGATCAACAACAAAAAAAACAAAACAACAACAGATATATTTCAACTTTGCTTCAATTTAGCTGATGTTTTGATTTGCTAGAATGCAGGACTTGATTAGTCCTGCATTCTAGCAAATGTCAAAAGTCAGTTTGCTTATGGTGGTATGTGTGGTAATGTATGGCAGTTTCACTTCTGTCAGTCTGACCCAGGGATGCTGTAGCTGTAATGTAGCTCAACACCATCAGTATGAGTAGGAGAATAACTTAAAGTAGTATGAAGCACTTTGGGGTCGTTGGACTTCTTAATCAAACAGCTACAGGCCATTTACAATTACAAAGTATTTCTCAAAAAAAAAAAAAAAGAAGATTCTCAATATCTAAATTTCAACACAGCTGGATTAGGGCAGCTCTACATGTAGCCTCCTGGCTTAAATTGTTCGGTGATACGTGATGACTTTAAGTACTGGAACATCCACCTATCATTCTTAAAGGAGACTGTGTTTCCATCCAAATTCGTTTTTTAAGCAAGCAATACAAGTTGTAGCAACTTGCCACGGACCAATGATCATTTATAGAGGGAGGTTTTGCTGCAATCAGGCAGGCTGTATTGTAACGTGCCAGCTAGTGTTAGCGATGATGCATGCCGTCCGCAGTCATAGAGAGAAATGTAATTGTAATGCTTTTGCATTCTGGACACCAGCAGTGAACACAGTGAGTGTGATGTAATGTTCCCAATCACAGAACTTTTCAACAATCTTAAACAGATTTAAGTTTTGTTTAAATAGCCAAAAAACATATACATAAAAAAAAGGAATATTTTTTTGCTAAATTTAGCTATTTCCATCAAGCTCTCCTAATGTGATACTATAAAATGCACATAAAACCATGGATAGAAATAAAAACATCTATTGTTTCCCCACTAACATAGTGTTAATACTATAGTTGACAAGAGACGAGTGGCATATCTATAAAGGAGTAGAAGATGAGATTCAAAACCGAGCTCAGCAGACCTCAGAGTGGCTACAAGAGCAGGAATCCTGACTAACCGACTAATTATTATTTATTTTTCCACTACTTTATGAAGAACAAACCATCAAAATAGTAAGACTATATGGTATATGGCTTCAACACGCAGACACACATCTCCCCTCCGTCTTTGATAGAGGCTTCTGTTGTGTAGGGGGGTCACACTTGGGCAGATACAAAGGATGGAGGAAATGAGATATAGAGAAAAAAATTCCAACAAAGTAATCTGAGGATGGGGATAGGCCAATGGTCAGGCACTATGAAGAAAGAAACCACAGACTGAGCGGTTTAAAGGTCACTGGATAAAGAGAATACGATTGTTCCCTCAAAACAAATAAATAAATAAAGCTGCAAAACTGAATGGTTTCACAATCAAAGGCTTGTGGAGATTTGCTTCGTAGTTCATAGATCAAACTAATAGAAAATCATAACCTTCAAAACACATTTTATTTCTAAAAAATCTCAAGCAACAGGCTTTACTGTGCATTACTGGCAAGCATTACTGCGAGTAGTGATTCAGCAGAAGAGTTTAAAGTTTCTATTTATTACATGAAGTAAAAAAGAACCGAACAAAAGTGAACATCATTTATTGATGTAATTCACCAATTTTTTGTACTTGCACTTAATATGTATTCCCATTAGGAAGCAATCGCTTGTATCTGGGATTGGTTCTTTTGGTCATGATCCAGGTTTCATGACCATATGCCATGGTAGGAATGTAGACAAGAGCAGAAAATCAAGGGCTGTGTCCTGTCAGTCAGCTCTCTTTTGACCACAACAGCCCGTTGCAGTTATCTACAATTTTTAAAGATACTTGTACTGCTGATACTTAAACAGTATGCTTATGGTAAATGGAAAAAAAGGATAATATTATACCTGCAATGCTTAGATAATATTGTAATTCCTAATGAAATGATATATATATATATATATATATATATATATATATATATATATATATATTTATTTATTTATTATTATTTTTTTTTTTTGTGTGCCAAATAACAGCTTTTAAAATTCATAGTTCTATTTTTTGATTATCCATCTTATCTCCCATATGTGGTTAGATTTTCATTGGATTTGTATCTTGCATTTGGATTTAGTTATAAAGATATACAAATATAGATGTGATATCTTCTGTATAACTGATAAAAAGACATTTTACCAGCCTAATAATGGGGCAAAACGAGAACAGTCTTGCATCTTGACTGCTATTTCACCAATAGCAAATCCTTTTACAGACGCGTTTTTCCTCTGAGGCAATCCCTGTCTCATTTTCTCTTTTAGGACATTGGCTTCCTCTTTTTGCTTCAATCAGCCCTGACAAACTTTGATTCAAGATTGAGATAATTAGAAGCCCATAGGGTTAGCTCTTGTTTTTAAGGGTTGTTAAGACTGCTGTAAAGCTGCACTCTGGGTCACATGACTTATTCAGTGATAAAATTTACCCTGTAGTTACTTGATGGAGATTTTGAGAAGCACAGCCACAATAGAGCATCAATACACACCACGTGCTGGAAACTGACCTAAATCCAGGCTAATACGTGGGTAAAAACGGACACGTTGCTTCTTTAAGGAATCACATATCTCTTTTCTCTTACTTTTTTTTGTTTTGTTTTTAACAAGGATAGTTTGCAAATCTATGTGTAATATGTTTCCATATTTGACCATCTCCATAGTGATTACTAGATGGTACAGAACTGCCTTCCATGCAGGCACAGAGCAATGGGTTTCTTTTAATGCTTGTGTGTCTTAGATCTGTAATGAATTATAGGCAAGATTTTAAAGCCAACTTAGTCATAGGTGTTTTCCCAAAGATGCATCCTGAAATGCCACTTCCTACTTCTCCATCCCCTGAAAGCTAGATATAAATACTACCTCAGAATAATTATTTGGACAGTGCTTCCTTAAGTTTCTTTTCTTTTTCTCTGAAGTTATGAAGACTTCTCCTCAATTTTGCAATCACCCCATTCTGGTGTTTTAATCTGGAACTGACCCGAAGCTTGGATTTTCCATCCAAAATGAGATGCAACCATTGTAACATAAACAAAAGCAATCAAATGAAACCGATGTGGGTATTTCAGTCATGGTCAAATCTTGCACAGTAATTATCTTGATTATTGGTAAAGGTCCAAATCCTACAGGAAGCATACCGCAAAAGCAATTGCTTTTCAATTTATTAAATTGTGTTGTCTAAGATGTGTCGTGCAATTGATCAAGTGTAGTCAGATTAATCTATATATGTATTCTTAAAATCAAACATTCCGCTGTAGTTTTTACAAATTGCTGCACATACAATGACCAAATAAAGCATATTTTATATATGTATATTTTTTACTAATAATATTATGCAAAGTTGAAATATTTTTCAATGCAAGCAACGATTCCTTTTAATATTTTGAATTTAACATCTGACAAAATTTTTCTGCTAAATACATCATACACATAATGACCCTAAACTGCAGCTCAAGTAAACTCTGTTATCAGAAATATTGTTGGGGCGCTCTGGAAACAAATGATGACATGCTGATTTTAATAGCTTGACATTTTGGTACATCAGTGGGTCCCTGAAGCCGCCCATATAAAGGCTGCTGCCCAAGAGGTATGATGGAAAGGGGGTCGAGCTCATAGTGGAGGGATAAAGGGCAGATGTAGAAATAGGATTTTGCATTCTTGTATGTTTTTAAGATTTCGTTGATAGCTGAAATGGTCTGTTTGTGAATAACTGATCTTCGGTAACTATGTACATCCTGCTTTTTTTTTCTTTTAATTTATCAAATCAATGGCATGCCTTCAATATGTTAAACAAACTCTGCGTTTGAATCAATTATAACTATAATTATAGTAAAATGCATATTTCATCTAATTTTTATCATAATACAGGAACTTGTCTGATCAGGGTATTGCCTGAGGCCCAGTGAGGATGGAAGGTGAAATGCTGCTAAGTAGCCTAAGGGTAGAGAAAAGTAGACAGCAAGAGGGAGCAAAAGAAAAACCTTTAATCTGTACAATCAGGAACCCTGGCTTTGAAGGATGGATCATTCTCCCTGATGGCTATCGTTGTCAAGTAGAAAAGACTATTCAGCAATTCCTTTTCTTGCCCTTCTAGTTAGTCCAGGAGCGTTTATTAATCAATCAATTTGACACACAGGTCTGTTAATGTCAAATGCATCAGCATCCTAAAGGTAACTTTTACATTATTATTATGAATATTCATAGTAGTAATAGTAGTTCTAGTACATCTAATTATTACCTTATCTAAACAGCAAAAACTCAATGAGATTTAGAATCCCTTTTTTAGGTGAACCTTAAAAAATATATAAAATAAGAGGAAAATATTGCTCAGATTTTGGTCAAAATATAGGCTTTAAATACAGCCAAGGTATCAATCTTTATGCGTTGCTTTTAAAAACGGTGTATTAGACAGACCTGACCACAGAAGTTTGTTATATGGGTAATTAATTATATAAAGTAAGTTTGAGATTTAATTCAGTGGTTTTAAAGGGAGCATCAAGTATACAAAAGGAAACCCATTCCATATTCCATCATGTTCATATTTGTTAAATATTGAAGCCAAAACTCAATATTTCCATAATCAGGGAAAATAACATACTATCACTAAAAGAGGCCCAAAAAATCCAGATTTTCTCCAGGGAAAAATCTTAACATTCATCTTAGTGTTTTGCTAATGTACATAATATTTACTGCGTTTGAAGTTTAAGTAAAGATATAAATTCTAATCAAAATTTTTCTAGGTTATGACATGTGTTTGAGTCAGCTTTCCGGTAATATGCATCAACAGGAAGGGAGGGGGCAAATTTGTGATACTTAGTAAAACTTTAGTCCTGGAGAAACTATCAGGACACTTTCACATCTGTCCCTGCTCCAGCCCACCTGAAATAAATGGCTAAATGACATCCTTAGTTTGTCAGCAAGTTCTGAATTTAATTCAGAGATATTAAGGCAGTGACATCTAAAACTTGCAGGACACCACTTAATGAGGACTGCATTTTGAAATCTGTACTCAAGGAGTAGGGCTGGGTACAAAAAAAATTGATTTTGAATGGATTCCTTTACATTTTTGCAAAATCGATGTCTAGGGAATGAGATCGATTCATTTTATAGTGACGCGCATGACGTTCACATTTAAATGAGCAGGAAAGATGCACTCAAGATTACTTCAAGCCAGACAGCTGCTAATATAACCAATAGGTTGACTGAAGACATTAAGAAATGGGGGCTGACCAGCAAACACCCTGTAGCTGATACAGACAACGCTGCAAATATGGTTTGTGCAGTGGAGATAATGCAGCTCATGCATGTCTGCTGTGTCACGTCTGCTGTGTGAGGCTTCATTTTTTTTACAAAACAAGTTTGCACTTTTGAGACAGTTTTTCTCACATCTCATGTTTAAACTGTCTGATTTACAAGTTTGCACTTTGTGTTTAATGTGACAGGAAAAAACAAAATACATGAGTATTTTGAAACACAGCTGAACCACTTTCATTATTGTAAATCAGATCGAAACGATCGAAACGAAATTAATCGATTTAGAAGTGTATGAATCAAAATCGAATCAGTTTAGGACTTTGGCGAAAATACCCAGCCCTACTCAAGAGCACCTGTAAACAGAAATAAAAAATTACGCTTTCCCACAACCTGCTTGGATAGATTTCTGGTGAAAGATCTATTCTATACTACAGATGCACCAATCCATTTTTTTACGATCCGATCTTATACCGATACCTGGGCTGATATCCAATACTGATCTGATTCAACTGTTCAATGAATTAACCATATCTCCTGTCATGCGAGTAAAGGGTTTAGTCTAGACAAAAACATTATTTAAATAAAAGGAACAAATAAACACAGATATAAATGCTTTATACATTGACTTTATATTACTTACTAACAAATAAGCAACAAAAAGAAAAAAATAACAGCTCCATGTCAAGTGCATTGGATTGGATATCTGATATCAATTCACCGATACCTGATCCAGCTTTGTCAATATCAGAGCCAATATCAGACCCAGGTATTGGATCTGTGCATCTCCATTTTTATACTTTAGTTAATACTATGGTGAAGTGAAACTGATAATATTATTCATATAATAACTCCATAATTTTAATAAATTATAATAAAAAATAGAGGTTAAGCTAATCATCTGATTAAGACTTGATGAAATAGCAATAATTCTACAGGCTACACACTAATTTAAACCCTCAATAACCCAAATGATGCTGTGAAATTATGTCAGACCTATGAGTGTGTGGCACAATGACAGATGCATACATGCATTGGCCAGAAAAAGAATTGGGCATGCATATAACACTGTATGACGCCATTGTTGCTGTCATTTTCAAAGTGTGGAGAATGCGTGTTTGGCTAAAACAGGGGTCTCAAACTCAAATCCTCAAGTGTCCTGTGTCCTGCTACTTTTAGAGGTTTCCTGTGCCCTAAACAACTTAATCAAAATAGCTAAACCACCAAAGTCAAGTTTGTTGAATCAGAGACACGTGTAAAAGTTGAAGGATGTTGGCGCTAAAACATTTGGGTTTGAGACCTCTGGTCAACAGGCAGGCCGATGATGCAAGCGTCTCAGAAGGATGACAAACAAAACCACATCAGGAAGTAGAAGGATGATGGGGAGGCTTTTTAGTGAGCTATCACATGGGCACACTTATTGACTGATGAAACTGGATGTGTTTCTTATCTAATGGACACATTGCAAATGTATACTTTTTTTTTATTGGCCTTTTTTGATAACAACATTTGCAGAGTATAGACAGTTTTGTGCACATTTTTTAAAGAAAATGCAGAACTGACTTAATATGGATATATTTTTTAACATAATCTGTGTCCTCATCCCAACCAAAAGTTCTGCCAGCTTTGGAGCAGGTTATTATAAACAACCTTTAAAAGATATATTAAAAAAGTGGTCTCTCAGTCGATTCCTCCAGAGCTGCTGTCCTGCAACTTTTAGCTCTCCCCCCTGCCATACACAGCTGAATCTGCAGTCAAGCTCTGCTAATGAGCTCATATGGGATCAGGTCAGGTGTGTTACAGGAGAAAAGTGTCTTAAAGTGGCAGGAGACCAGTCCTAGAAAGCATAAGTATGAAATACAATCTTAGACCAAAAGAAGGAGGAGTTCATCAATGTGTTCAAAAATCCACACCCAAAACATTTCTCAAGTCACAACTACAGAGGCGTAGACAGAACATTTTTAGAAGGGTGGCCAAATAACCAATGTACACTGAGGAGTGGCCAAAAGAGGATAGGCACCAGAACCTCACAGTCAATCTACGCTGTTCCAACAGGAAAATTAAGAAGCAAAACATCCGTATTTTCTAAATAAAGACATATACTTTCTTACAATATAACATATATGCGCATATATTTCAACATCCGTAATTTCTAGCATGAAAGGTATAGTGTATAAAACTCTTTCAGTTTTGAGTTTTGGGCATAAATCTTTTCCATTGTCATTACTTACCTAATTGTATCAATAAACATTCTGTATAAAATTTATATCCAAAGGCACTAATATCTACATAAATTGTTTATTTGATAATTTTTTATTAAAATTTTTATTTATCTGGGCATGCAGTGGTTAGGGCCAACCCGGGTTCGAATCCGACCTGTGGTCCTTTGCTGCATGTCTCTCCCCCTCTCTCATACCCCCTTTCCTGTCAGCCTACTGTAAAAAAAAAACGAGCCACTACTACCGCAAAAACTCAACAAAAAAAACAAAATGTATCTATGATTCCACTGAAAACTCCTAGATGACTTGCAGAGACAAATCATTTTCTCTTTACCTCAATTGCGTTAGACCGAAAATGTTGCATTGTAATCAAATTTATAACAACGTTCAAAGAAAACTGGAAAATACAACAAACACGGTCAGAGGGAGAAGTTCCAAACTTTGAAATAGGACACATCACAAACAATAAGGGCTGCGTCGCTGCACAAGAACAAGCCTTCAGTGTACAAACGAGTTTGGCGAGTTGGCGTTCTCTTCCTGTCTGTTTTATGTCACAGTTTATAGTTTAAATTCACTACTTTAGCTACTCATATGACAAACAACAGTAAATGTGATGTCGATAAACAGCAGGAAGAAACAGAGCAAGAAAAAAGAATAACACTTGAGCAGACACTGTTTCTGCAGTTAAATAGCATTTCTCGTGCTGCAGGTGCCCCATCACGCTGGTAATGTCAACTTCCCCACCAACAAGTCGCCACAAACTTACCTTTCCCTTCAGGTCCAGGATGAATATCGCTGAAGCGGACATCTTGATGAAGAAAAAAATAAATAAAGCACAAGAACCAGAGGGTGTGATGTGTGGGTCTACTGTAGGATATGGATATAAATGGGAGAAGAAGTCGCTCCCATCCTCCTCCTCCTCCGCTGGTCTCTCAGCAGCGCGCTGTTCTGTCTGCGCGTTTCTCTGCTGCGCTGCTTTTCCGGAGCGTCAAACTCACTGTGTTTACGGAAGTAGGATTTCCGGCTGTGAAATAGCCTCAATCGATCTCGGTTCATCATCGGCATGAATTTTTTTTTATTTATTTACTTATTTTACTTTAAAAAAGGTTGGAGAGTATTTAAGTCCGTTTTAACTGAATGTTGTGTTGATTAAAAAGGTACAAACCTGGTTACCTTCTGGTGCGCCTCAGATTTAGGCAGAAATGCATTTAACACTCACAGGACAAGCAGTGAATTAATAGAAAATTATAAAAATAATAAAAATAATACAAATAAAAAGGTAAATATTTTTTGGGAAATTACTTGGAAATATGAGTGGGATTTTAGGATTGAAGCAATAAGTAAAATCAAAGTCAAAATGCAACAAAGGAGATTTGATCGTGATAGAGGCTGGGCCAAAAGTCTTATCTAGAACCTTTTTCCTTTAAGAAATAAAATAAACTGAATTATCTTAAAATATTTAAGAGGATAAGTTTTCATTTCAATATTATTTATGCTTTTAATTCTTTTATGGGCACATGTTTCTTTATATAAATTATTTATCTACTGTGTAAGGAAATGCTTGGACCAGGCTCATGATCCTCATTACAATGAATGATCTAGCCCAGGGGTCTTCAACGTTTCCCAGGCCAAGGACCCCCAAACTGATTGTGAGATGGAGTGGGGACCCCCTAATTATATATATTGTATGAAATTGTGTTATATCAAACTGGTCCTAGAGTCACTCTATTACAGATGCTGTCATATAACGAAAGTAATTTCTCCCTTGGATTATTAAAGTGTTTCTAATTCTGATTCCTTGCTGATGGGACAGGTGTTGTGAATGAAACTTAGCCAAGTATCAAAGAGCTCCTGTGTGTCTCTAAATGAGTGCATTGATGACTCCATTTCTCTCTTTACTACAGTGTGTTGAATTCATATTAATGTGCATTTAAAGACTTTCAATTAGGTCAAAAATATTGCAGGGGGGAATTAAATAAAAACAGTCTAATCAACCAAAACTTTCACGACCCCCATGCAGTACCTCTGCGGACCTCTTAGGGGTCGCGGACCCCCTGATGAAAACCTATGATCTAGCCTATAGACAAAAAGACATTTAAGTTTGATTTAATAAAATATATCTTTAAATTACAGACTGTGTTCTTGTTTCTGCTCCCTAAAAATTTTTCTTAAAAAATTAGCAAATATTGTGCTATAATATTATTGTATGGAATATCTATCTATTTTCTGCTTGGATTCCGTAGACCTAATGAAAAAGGCGTGACCTGCCAGAGAGAAACATTTATGATCTTGTTTAGAAGACATGAATGTTCTGCTTCCGGTTTCGGTGTGAACTTGACCTGCTTCCGGATGCAGCCTCGCCTGACAGCTCCACGCAGACCTGTCAGGCTGCTCTCATCAGCCGTGTGGCCTCACAGGATCAGAAACGCTGAAGGGCTCGACCCAGCGCGCAGTGCCAAGCTTAATTAATGTTGTTTATGTCAGAGTCGTGGACTTTTAAGGAGAAGGTGAATGTAACTGGAGTTGGTCTTTGATGTATCAAATAAATCCAAAATATATCTCCTACAATTCAAACCCGACTGGATCTGCATATAAGATTGTCTCGTAGTTTTTTATATATATATTTCGTGAAATTTTACTGAAGTTGCCCAGATACAGAATTTTTGCTAATTATCACAATAAGCCTTAAGCTCTTATTTAATAATAAATAAAAAGCTATTATAGTGAATTCAGTGACCAATTAAAATACTTTAAATGGGTCCATGAAACAAACTGAGTATATAACATTTCTTAATTTAAGAAAAAAAAGGTGAAATATACAGTATAACGAGTTTTTATCACAATATCTTTGTCCAATGTATTCCCTCGCTGCTAGATATTTTGGCTGGTAGCTAAAATTATGTTTCTTGCAAAGTGTCTGTTGGATCAAAGCCATGTTTTTGATACAGAAATGCCAGGTTATGGTTAATTCTTTAAGTCTTTAATTCTTAATATTTTAAAAATTAATTAAATTGATTTATAGAAAATATTTGGGCTTTTTTGTTGTTGTTTTTGTTTTTGTTTTTTACATATAAAAGAAAAAGATTAATGTAAGTACATTATGCAAAAAATGCTTTCATCCCATGCAGGTTTACTGAAAATGGCTAGAATCTAAAAGTTGCAGGACTAAAAATACAATGAGAATTAAAATGGTGTTAAGCAATATGTTAAATATATATATATTTATATATATTTAAACAAAAGTATATAATGTTAAACTAAACTAACCTTTGGGGGATTGTTTTATTCAAATTTATATATCTATTTACACACAGTACACACTTATTTTGTGCGTAAAAAAAAAAAAAATCTAATTTATTTTATAAGTTCAGGAGGTCCCAAGCTATACAATTTGATCTAGTGTAACTACATATTTGATGTAACAAATAGATCTTTTCACCTGAAAGGGATGACATATGCTCAGTAGAAGTAAAGGGTTATAGAAATATGTTAAAACTCTCACCCTTAATGCCTGCTTAAAGGAAAGAAGAAACATGGATTGGCCACAGCTTTCACCAGGTAAGCATTACTGATAAACTGAGCGGATACTAAGTTGTCCCCCTCTTTAAGATTTATAATTTTTCATAACGCCATCAACTTCTCCAGTTAAGATTCCCTCTCTCTATTACAGTGACAGACGTCAATGTGAGACTAGATCATCATAATCTTCATTTAAAAACCACATTATTCACCTGCTCAAAACCGATTTCTTCCACTTTATACCTTTCCCCAAAATCCATCCTCTCTTAACCTCAATGACCCTTAAACCATTGCTTCTTGCCATTCTACTCCAGTCTTAATTATTGCAATGCCCTCACTCCTGTAAAGGATATGAAAGAGCTGCAAGACATCCAGAAGTGTGCTGCAAGAATTCTTGTGAAAGTTCACAGAATGGAACATTTCGCCTCAATTCTCCAAAAACATCACTAGCTCCCCATTCCCTGCGGGATTCATTATAGAACTGCCCCTTAACACCGACCACAGTATTCATAGCAATGCTCTTGAATACTTGAAGGCCCTACTCACACGCCACTTGTCTATTCATTCCCTCTGCTCACACAATAACAACCTCCTCCAAAATTGTACTTGTTTGCAGCCAGTGAGTGACTTGGCCTACTCTTCATCAGGCCTTCGCCTTTGAAACACTCCCCAACCACCTGAGAGGTCCACTTTTCCTCGTTATTACTGATTTTTTTATTTCTTTTTTGCTTTTTTTAATCTTTATCTTGAAGCTCTTTAAGAATGGTCAAATACAGTGTTTTTTATGAAGTTTGACAAAAAATGCAGGGATCCAATGAGAATTTCAAAATTAAAGCTAAAAAAAGTGTTGTACCATGTGCCATAATCATGGTTTTGGACATTGAGAAGCAGTGTCCATGTTTCATCTAGATATGATGACCAGAGAAGCGGTAGCTTTGGCTCATAAACAGCTGACAAACAGCAGACAAACAGCAGATCCCCCCTTTCAGCCAACTGCCTCCACAGAAACTCCCACAGAGGTGTGAATTTCCACCCCCCTCTTCTTAAGGACAATGAAAACCACACAACACACAGGATTTCACTCTTTTTCTCATGAGGCTGCCTGAGGGTCCACATCGGAAGAGACAACCGCCATGTAGATCTAGCCAAAAGGCCTAGATCTCCAGAATGATCAAGGATAAGTCATGAAGGTTGACTTTTCAAAACCAAACTGCTGCAAAACAGACTTTTTGCAACACATTTCTCTTGAGTTTTAGAACCTACAGGGCCAGACTGGATGAGAAAATCTCCTAAGGATCCTTTGGTGTGGGTCACATAGACAAGATAATCCCCACCTTGCTGTGAGCCTGCCTGCTAAGCTGCTGCTGAATGAAAACTCAAGCTTTCCAAATAGATATGGACAAAAGGTTTGCAGGTCTGGCACAATTAGGAACAGAACAAAAAATATGTCTTTTTATCATTTTGACCATTTCATGTGTTTACTGATGGGTAAAGACAAAGCTAACAGGATGGACTGCATGCAATACTATGCTACAGTAATATGTTTTGAGCTGTTGTTGAAGCTTGGACAAGCTTTATTTCACTAAGAGTTTAAAGACTGATACAACATTAGTGTTCATGTGTTCCTCGTATGCTCATTACATTAGATTACCAAGAATGACCAAGAGTCATTTAATGGAATCCTCATGTCTATTCGTTGCTAGCTATTTCAAAGAGGGTAAATAATCATTTCGCTAAAGGTTACTGGTTCCTGATTAGGCAAATCATTTAATAAAACATTATTTGGCCAAATAATGTTTATTCACCTCATGGATTTGCATTGTGAATTGGTCTGAAAACATTCCAATTGCTCTAAATTAGTGAAAAGCTAATTGGATCATATCCCAAATTCTTGCAGATAAACACAAATCCATCTTAAACTGTAATATGGTTTCCAACCATGTTTCCTCTTCCTCTTTGTACATAGTAGTTTAATTTAGTTGATTTTCACAAGTTTTAGTTATGAGTTATAAACTGAAATATGTTTGACTTGGAGCTGATTGCGTTTTGTTAATAAACTCTTATATTTTTAATAGAAGTTGTGGTGAATTTATTCCACGTATGTGCAGAATTAACTGTTTGACAATGATTAGTGCTCAAATCACTCTTTCATTTAGTGTAGTAACACACAGCTTGCAGGGCGTGTGTTCATAAACAATATATAAGAGCCTGAATAATATCTGATTAAAAAATATATATTTACCACCCCTACCATGGAGGGCAATGAACATCTTAAAGTATCAGAAAATATGAATTCCCAGCTGGCTGAAATTGAATTTAACAGTTATTTACAACATAAATATGGCATCCAACCTGGATGGGCTTGAATATAAATTCACAAAAAAAAGCAACACCTTAACCCAGCTAGTAAAATGTTTAAATTCACCAAATCACAGAGCACCTCCGATCATACCAAGCAGACAGAACGATCCTAAAAGACGACATATTACACTGCATGAAAAGTGAGATTTTCGTCCCCGTAAACCCCCGTAAACTCCCGCAGATCTGCCTGATTTTCGTCAGTTTCCGACAATTTGCAACCCGTGCTTGTCCGCGTTTGTCGTGCCACAAATTGTTGGAAACGTACCGTGACGTATGTGGAGAGCGATCAGCTGTACTAATGGCCCTAATTAGCATATGAATGCAGCAAACCCGCGCGGCTGGCCAGGTCTGGCTTGAATAACCTTCTCAGTATTGGCTGAAACCACTATTCTCAAACAAATGAAATCGCTCGTGATTGGCAGCAAAACCACACGTGGCCACGCCAGGCTTTAATTTTCTTACTGAGTATTGGACGGAACCGCTTCTTTTTAAACAAGTAAAGTCGCTCGTGATTGGTTGGCATATATATATATTTACATATATATATTTATTCATATATATATATATTTATTTATTCATTCATATATTTATTCATTCATATATTTATTCATTCATATGGTGTGTATTTATGTTATCCTACACTACTACACAATTATTATGCTACCATCAAGGACATGAATGAATTTATACAGGAAATGAACATTTGCCAGGAAGCTGTTTATGCAAAGAAAGAGCTTTATTAAAACACACACAACTATATACAACGCGTATCCAAACACATGCGTTTCTAAAAATTAAAAGTCCGTGAACGGTCCGTTTGCTTCCTCGGGGTTGGAGGTAACGGGCAGCATTCCCTCCGAGGCAGGTCCGATGTGCAGACGCCTACTGTGCGTGGCTCTGTACTTCGGCATCGCTTCTAACCGGGACTGCAGCTTAACACAGAGTTCAGTGAGATCCGGCCTACGAAATGGCGACGACCGTACAATCCATCCAGAGACACCGCTGACGACGGCGGACTTCCAGAGTTCCACTTCCTCATCTGCTAGCACACTCTGCCTTGCTTTCAGCAGCTGAAAAAAAAAAACAATGAATCAGCGCACTGCGTATGGACACAACACATCTATTAATGCACCTGAAAAATAGTCACCAAATAAAGTCTTACCCTCTTTCTTCTGGCCCGACTCCGAGCAGATAGCCTCCGCACGCAGCGTGTTGGCTGGCAGCGTATATCTGAAGCTCCTGCGTACCGTCTGAAAATACGTCTTACAGGCAGCTGGAAAACAATTAAATGAGAGTGGTATAAATAAAAAATCAAACGCAAGTCACAGTAACAAGGAAGGAGAAAACATTAAAACAAGTCACTTACACACAATGTCGTCTTTATCATCATCGTGCAAATCTGGACTTGCTGATTATGGCTCCGAGCAAAAAGGAGGTCTGTGAAAACAAAATGTAAAGCTATGATCGGTATCCATTACCTTTTACCGCAGAATGAAAGCATATTCTTTAAATCTTACCCTTGCTCCGGTTCATAGCGCCTGCAATTAGTCTCCGAGTTGTTAAGACGGCGTACTGCTTCCTGTAAATCACAAAAAATGCACTTTAATAAAGCTTGTTCTTGCAAGGCTAGGCTAGATAGGCTAATAGCTAGGCTGCTATTAGCCATAGCTCAGGCTAGGCCGCTTTTAGCTTAGCAGGCAGTAATCGAACATATATTTACCGCTAGCATCTCTTCTTTGAGTTCGTCTTGTTCGATGCAGAGTCGCCATCGCGTCCAAGAAGAGTTTTACCCCGAAATCCCACATACTCCGTCTGCGCTCCGCTCCGCTCCGCCCCGCTGCGCTCCAGACCGCCTGCACAAAGCAAAGCCTACAGCCGCCGCTGTGGCTCCGTCCCCTCCTCTCTGAGTTCCTTGGAGATCGTAGAGGGCATGCGCCAGATGAACCAGGGTTTCCGCGGATCATTAAAAATAATTACAATTCATAATTCTTTTTTTAATCAAGGCCTTAATTGGCACTAAAATTAATTAAATATGTTTATCGTTGCATTTATGATTCTTTAATAAAAATGCTTCTAAAAACAATTTCGTCAGATATTATATCGCTATTAATTTGCGTGGAACTGTTTATAAAGCCGTATGTTCGGAAAGGAAGCTCGAGGCGGAGAAAAAGCTAGAGAATATATATATACGTATATATGTGTGTGTGTGTGTGTGTGTGTGTGTTTACATACATACAGGAGTCATGGAACTCTGCTTGCAGCTCCTTCATATTTCATGTACACTAATAACTTGTGTACATGGTTCTTGTTGATGGCATTAAAATAATTTCTAATAGCATTAAAATAGCATTAAATTAGAGTCACTCATTCCTGTATGAACCCTGTGAGCGCTTAATTTAATATGACATATTAAAAAAATCCCACCATCATCCAGCATATGTTCAGTTTCTGCCCAAATATATATATATATATTTTTGTAGATTTTTGTAACAGAGATAAGGATAATTCAAAACTGCTTTTTTTTTTTATGAACTTGTTCTCTACAACTTAGCATCTCTTTTCATTCCTGTAATAAGAAGTTTCTTTTAACTGGATTTGATTAAACTTTAAGTCCCTCGGTATAAAATAAATATTTTAATGGAGATGAGAAATCTGCTTCCTGGTTGGTGAATAACCAATAGTTTGGATCCAATCATTTAAATAAACGGTGTTAGTTTTTTTTTTTTTTTTTTTAGATATTTATAAGAATTGTGCTATAATTTCTAGTCACCAATCTGTTGCTGCTATATTTTAATTTGACGAACCGGAATTTGTCGATGTTCTTTTTCCTGTTTGGTGCAATTGCAATTGCGGATCTTGACCTGGCCAGACCGTATGACCACAGTGTACCAATCTTCTGATGGCTACTTCCAACAGGATAATGCGCCATGTTATAAAGTGAATCATCTCAGACTCATTTCTTGAAACTTTTCCACTTAAGTAATTGTGAATTGAGCATATTGACAGACAATATTTTATTTTTTATCTTAAATGCAAATTTTTAAAAAAATAATTACTGCTCTAAATGTATTGCTCTGTCAGCTAAAGATCTGTTTTGGTCTATATACTTTAATTAAATAAATCAATTCAAGCTAAAATGTGAGAGGCTATACTAAGCCTGATCTCTTTGTATCAGAGATTTTCTTCCTCAGAAAGATGTCACTTGGGGTAAAACCCCCCCTGCAACCCTGGTTTGCATTTGTATAGCTCACAGCATGTTCATTTACATGTTAAAGCCTCCCCTAGAATTCCATGGGGGGGAGGCATGGGGGGAACACTGCCTAAGAAATTCCACGTCAATTTCTGACAATTTACGGGAGTTTTCGACGAAGCCTGCAAATTGCCGTAAACTGCCGCTAACCTGAAGTTCCACGACAATCTACAGTGCCGTATATTGACGAAAATCCCACTTTTCATGCAGTGTTATGTCCTAATTTTAAAAAAAAATTGACAATGAATGATTGATAAAGTTGGTGATGTCTGTCATTCTGGAGAGGATCGCTAAGTTTGGTAGGGGTATATTCAAGAAGATTTATGATCAATGCCTTTATACGAACAGCAGAAAACATACAGTGTTAAACCTCAGCAGGAAATAAAGAAAAAAAATCTATTTTCATTATTTATTCAAAAAAAAGAAACAGGCAGAGCAACTGATGCATTAATAGGACAGTTCTATTATTCCTTATTTTATTATCCTAAAGACTTTTGAGAAAACATTTTGTCTTCTGATGAGGCAAAATGGTTAGTTGTTAAAAGGTATTCCAATTTGCCATAAAACCTACAAAGCACATTGCAAAATGGCAAAAAAAAAATCCTGAAGGAGCAAACAAATGATGTGTGTTGGGTTGTGTGTTATGCATTAATACATGATCCAAAGCATAATTATTGTTTTTTGTGACCTTCACAAGAATGTCACTGTTTACAAATCCTATAATTGGACTGAATTAAAGCAGTTCTGTAAGAAAGAGTTTGGCAAAATTGCTTTAGACAAATATGAAGGAGTCATTAGTAGTTATTGCATCTTTGATGCTATTGTATGTTTGATGCCCATTGTGGCTTCCAAAGATGCTTCAAGAAATTATAAGATTGAGTAGAGTGTTTAATACTAGAAGGCCTGTAAAAACTTTTACTCTAAGCACATTTTTCACTTTTAATAAAAACAAATAACAAAAACTGCTTCTTAAATTCAACCAGGCTATCCTTGTTTATTATAAAAATTGATTTTATGAAACTAAACATGTAAGCATGTCCACAGAAGCAGAATTGGACAAATGCACAGGGGAAAAAATCAGATAAAAACTTATATAACTACAACTTTTCTTTAGGTGTTTCTGAAACCTTTGAACTGATATTTACCCTGCCGTTCATCACAAAATATAGAAACTTTTTATCTAAAGAAATAATGTTTTACTCTTGAAATAAAGATAATTAACTTTCAGCATATTATTATAGAATATATTTCAAATAAAATTTAGTCTAAAACAGAAACAATGTATGAGATACTAAGATACAGAGGCAAAATATATAACAGGTGTAAATATAAAGTCGAACCAAACAAATAACAAAAGAGATCATTCGTGGTTGTGGGTAGGTAATTGTATAGAGTTTTCGTTCTTCAGTAACACAAAAGAAGCAAAATGATTTACTTAAAAAACCTCACATTTAAATCCCAATGAAATATTTTATAAGAGTTAAGGAAGCAACCAAAACATGAACAATTTGAACCATTTTCAGAAAACCATTTGTAACAAACTGAATAGGCTTAAAGAACAGTAGATATTTGTAAATAATTTAATATGGACCTGTGACATCTAGAATGTTCTGATATCAGCTAAGAAATAAATTAATGGAAAAAAAAACTTTTTCATTTACTGCTGCATAACTCACTTTTACTGCCGCATAAATGTCAGAAAACCAGGAGACTTTTCTGGTTATTGGTTTTAATGGACATGGCTACATACTATTAGCTATACAAACTAATAACATTCAATACATTCAGATTCACAAATAGTTCACAAATACATAATAACCAGTACTGTATGTGCTGCTGATTTAATGAGAAGGAAAGTATTTAAAGCACATATAATCAGTTCTTTTACTGCATGTTTAACTGGATGGTATCCATAATGGATTTAAAGATCAAGGTTTGTCAAAAACAGCATACTTTTAAGGAAGTAATTTTGACTTTGTGCTAGCATCAATGGATTTTACCAACTTGTTATATTTAAATCTGACTCCTGAGTGCAAATAAAATGGAGCCCAGTTCTTGTGCATCACTTAGAAAACTAAACAGCCTTGTGGATGTGTTGACCTTATATTAGAAATATTGCATCAGTGGATAAGTATTTTCTTTTTTAATCTTTCAAGATAAGCACTTCTTTCTTGCTAGTTTTGACTTTTACACAATAAAATGATCTTTAAAACTAAATAAAACTGTCAGCTGTAAAAAATTTAGTGGGCCCTCAGAGCTCAGATTTAGAACTTCCCTAACTATGAGGATGGTGTAATTATTAATTCTAATGTGATGCCATTAAACAAAGTATGTATCTTCTTTGAAAAACTTTAAATCAGACCCACTCATAAAACAACTGAAAATGGAGCAGCGATGGATGCTGGGAGTTCTGGTCCAACCACCAAACTGCAAGTGTCCAGAGACTCTTAAGTGATGCTAAATTCAATCTCGTCCAGCTCTTCTTCTGTATCTTCCTCCATATCCTCAGCTGCCCTCTCGGCCCGGGCTCTCTCACTAGCTGGGATGTAGTTGTCTTCAATAAAGCCGTCGTCATCCTCCTCCCTCACAGGAGGGAGGCAGTGAGGGTCTATTCGTCCCCTGCGCATATCAAACTCCACCTCTAGGCCTGAAGAGAGAAATAAAGCAAGCAGCAATTAGTTAATGGACTGAAGGTTCACTAAATCACACCCTCATTAACCACACTGGTCATGTTGATATAAAACATTAAGGTTTTTCCGAGCTTATTGGGGATATAGTCCAATTAACAGTTGGAATACTGGTCAGTAATTATTTAGTGATCATTACAGGTCCCTCGGATGGTCTTTACATTTTTTGCTATAGGTAACCTTTAAAAGACCTCATTTTTTATTCTATAGAACCCAGATGTGTCTGTTTACACTATAGAATACTTCCAGGAAGCAGATGACTCAGAAAATGCAATGACATTGCATATGCTGAAGTATAATAATCTTTTATTAGCCAGAATCAGGCAGGAAAAATAATTAGCAGCAAGATATTACCAAAATATAAAATTGACACAACCCTTGCATCCAAACCTCAAAATCCCTTTTCATTTTGTTTCAGCTGGCCTGTAGTTGTTAGGGAGGGAGGGATGCTAGAATTAGTTCCTAAAACTATGAATACCCCAGGAAGTCTTAGAAAAGAGGAAGCTGCTATGTATATTTTCAGAACTAGCAAAAAGCCAAATCATTCTCACTTTCTGTCTTTATCAAGAGGAATGGTTTCTTATCAGCAGAACCGAGACACCGCCTTATTTTCAGCGATAGCTGTGAGGTAAGTCAAAAAATAATCCAAGGTCAACCCTGGGCAACCCTAAATATTTCCCGTACTTACCTTTGTCCCCTGGCCAGACATCTTCTTCTTAATGAACTAACTTCCTTAATAGATATTTAATTCAAAGCAGAGTAAATTTCATATCTGCTAGACTCTGCTTTCCCCTCGTGTCTGTTTCATTTTATAGTCTGTATAAATCTGTCATGAACTTCTGTCTCTTTCCTAAAACCTTTATCAATTGTTCATTCCTATTACAGAAACACCAAGGTTCACAATTTGTTACATTCTCACATTAACAAAATCATAGTTTTTGTCACAGATATTTTGTCAGCACAATTTAAAATCAAAATCATTGCACAATCTTTATCTCAGTGAGAAAAGAAGCGAAGGCCTCTTCTCTACTTGTCACTTCTTTTTTTTTTTCTTTACTCAGATTTAGGATTTCTTTAATTATGAGGATTGCTTCAATAATTTTTTGTGGGGAAACACATTTAGGCTGTGATGAACTCCATATAATCAGTTTTGCTTGACAATAGTTAAATTATTAATTTCTTTAGAACCGGTAGGATGGAGCTTAATTCTGTAAGCACTAATGTTCTTACACAACTTTTTAATTTACTGTTGGAAGCTAGCTACACTTGGCCACAAATAACACTAACAGATCTAATTTCCTAAAACTGAATAATTTACTGAATTTATTTACTTAGAATCTAATGTAATCTATCACAGAATTGTTGATAGTTGTGAAATAGAAGAAAACATGTATTGTAACAAACTTTCTTGCATTAAATAAGCTTTTTCAGATAAAAACATTTGGAAATTAAGATCCCAGTCTTTGGAGAAATAGAGGAGAGGGATAAAATCTATTTGTTTGAGGTCCAGTTTAAAGTTTCTCATTCTTTTATTCTGGTTTATTATGTTATCTTAAGGAAATAATCAGGATTTTGAACCTGCCTAGGGTGCCTTTAATAATGCTATTTATACTCCATTTGTATTAAAGTAACACTGTGATTCCCCAACCAGGGGGTAAAATAAAATAGGGGTGGGATGTGTTTTGCTTTGTGTAGACCCTATTGAGAAATCCAAAAAGAAACAACATAAAAGTACGTTTTTTCTCATATATTTGAGTTCACCTTCAGCTTTGATACACATCACAACTAAGAAGAGGAAGAGACTGAATCTAAAGAACAGCCTGGTATCAGCTGTTTTTCTCACTGAGCTATCAGAGCTCATCAAAGCAGCTCAGGTGTTTTGATGAAAACAAAATAAAACTAATTAAGTCAGTTTGACCATAATTTTTGTTCTGTATTGTTTTCCCAGTTCAAGAAGTTTCTCAAGAGTTCTAGTTTTATAAATACAGGTTTATAATATCATATTATGTTGTATTTATTTTGAGTCCTTACTTCCAGGCAACATATTCGTGTTTTTTTTTTATTTGAGGTGGAAATCATAAAATGCCTAAGAATTAAATCCTCAAATGAAAAGATTAATTAAAATTGTTTTTATTTTATAAGCAGTTATTGTACATTTCAATTTTGCACAATCATCGATACTGGACTGAAAGGGGTACTCATGGTAAGACAAAATGAACAAAGGGGTACACAATTCAAAAAAAGTTGGGACACACTGGAATAACAGACTGATCATGGCACATTGATGCAGTAATTAGCTTCCACCTCAGTGAAACACAAACTTCCTGACTGACAGGAATCAACAGATAAGGCTGCTGACTCCTGTCAATACTTTCAGCCCACAAACTATCAACATTGGGAACCCCAGAGAGGTTTGCTCTCCCAACTGCAGTTCTACACCAAGGCTTCTCCTAAAGAGATCCATTAATACAACTCATCAGTTAACCTTCAGACAGGAGGTTGATCAGATGGTGTTCTGGTGTGACAAAGATGACCTGGAGCTTAACATACTAAAAACTGTGAAGATGATTGTGAACTGTAGGAGGGCTCCCCCCACTTTGCCCCATCACCACACTCAGCATGCGCTGCGTAAGCTGTGAAAAGGATCAGGATTTTAGGAATTACTATATCTCAGGACCTAAAGTGAGAGCCAACACTGTGGCATTCATACTTCATGCTCCAGCTCAGGAAGCTCAGCCTGCCTTAAAAGCTGATGATCCTCTTCTTCCCAGCTGCTGGATCTCTGCATCTTATTCTGACACGGCTTGTTTCAACATTTCCTGTCTGGTTGGCACTACAGAGCTTTGTAGGCCAAAACCAACAGATTCAGAACAGTTTCTTCACACAAGCCAAAATTCTGACCGACTCACAGTGTCAGACACAACTCCTTTGAATGAACCCAATGGCTCTGTCCCTATTAAACCAACACTTATTTACTCCTGCATCATTACACCCACTTCATTGCACAATTGTACGGAAGCCCTGAAATGCAGGTGAAAAAAAAACTGAAGTAATTTCACATCATACAAATATCCAGGCTCCACTATGTATTTAATTCTATGTTGCTTATAGATATAAAAGGTCAATATGATAACCACACACCTTTGCCAACAAATACAAAGGTTTTGTATCTTCATTATATCTTCTTTTACTTTTCAGAAATCCAGTTTAGAGAGCAGGACAATAATTCTTGGAAACCAGACCTCTACTTTTTTCCTGATTCCTTTCAGGGCAGGAGAAAAAAAAGAAAGAAAATAAAACGTAGAACCTTTCTTATCCAGATTTTTTTTGTCACTTGCCTTTCAGGGCTTCCATACTATTGTCTTAAATAGTCCATTTTATTGATTTTGTTTGTTTGATCCCTATTTTGTTTCATATTTTGTTTTTGTTGGTTTAATATTGTTATTTTTTATAAGTAAGCACCTAATAAGCACTGTTGAATCTAGAGTCAGATCCCTTGTATTTGTGTACACAAAAAAGCTGACTGTGATTGCAATTCACTCAACAGAAGGCACATTTTGACCAATGTGCTTTACATGGACATATATGGACAGAAATATTTTTAAAATGGGCCTTAGTGTTAAAAAAAAGAATTCACAAACAGATTCTTATTATTTTTAGCATTAACCTGTAATCAAATTATTTAGAAATAATAACTTAAAATATTTAACTCTGTATGCATGCAGTATGCTCAGGGGGGACCCTGAGGCAACACCACGCCAGAGACGTAAAAGTGTCCTATAAACTGCGTGTTTATAGGACACTACTTTTATATATATATATATATATATATATATATATATATATATATATATATATATACTCAACGGCCACTATATTAGGTACAACTGCTCGTTAACACTTAATTTCTAAGCAGCCAATCACATGGCGGCAACTCAGTGCATTTAGGCATGTAGACATGGTCAAGACAATCTCCTGCAGTTCAAACCGAGCATCAGTATGGGGAAGAAAGGTGATTTGAGTGACTTTGAACGTGGCATGATTGTTTGTGCCAGAAGGGCTGGTCTGAGTATTTCAGAAACTGCTGATCTACTGGGATTTTCATGCACAACCATCTCTAGGGTTTACAGAGAATGGTCCGAAAAAGAAAAAACATCCAGTGAGCGGCAGTTCTGTGGGCGGAAATACTTTGTTGATGCCAGAGGTCAGAGGAGAATGGCCAGACTGGTTCGAGCTGATAGAAGGGCAACAGTGACTCAAATAACCACCCGTTACAACCAAGGTGGGCAGAAGAGCATCTCTGAGCGCACAGTACGTTGAACTTTGAGGCAGATGGGCTACAGCAGCAAAAGACCACACCGGGTGCCACTCCTTTCAGCTAAGAACAGGAAACTGAGGCTACAATTTGCACAAGCTCATCGAAATTGGATAATAGAAGATTGGAAAAATGTTGCCTGGTCTGATGAGTCTTGATTTCTGCTGCGACATTTGGATGGTAGGGTCAGAATTTGGCGTCTACAACATGAAAGCATGGATCCATCCTGCCTTGTATCAACGGTTCAGGCTGGTGGTGGTGGTGTCATGGTGTGGGGAATATTTTCTTGGCACTCTTAGATAGTTTGTAAGATGGGTCACCTAGAAAACAAGCTGCCAGCAAATCAGCCATGTTGATGATGGGCTGGCAGCTTGTGGCTATCCACTGAGCGAGAAGATTGTTTAGCTTGGCTAATAGAGCTGTACTTATAGCTGCATACATGTCAGCACTTCACGTTCAATGTGGTAATTTCACGGTACACCGACACAGGTAGGAAGAGTGATTACTTTTCGCCCCAGATATACATCCACATTAAAATATGAAGGTGAAAGTGATCATTAGTATAGACCCAGCTCCCAACCCAACTGTGAGAATAGATCAACAGCGATATTTTTTTTATTGCCCGATAAGAGTCTGCCGTTAACGGCCCACCATTCATTGACTTAAAAATGCAGCAAATGATTTTGATCTCACTTTTGCTTTTTGAAATGCATAGGATCAAAGTTAGTTCTGCTGAACACATTTGACACAAAACTTAAACTTAAATAATTATGCAAATAAGGAATTATATTTATATTAAATGCCTTCACTTCTTTTTCCAAAATTTGGAGTAATGAAGCATTCCTGAAGGAGTCACTATTCTTATAGTTGTTAAAGTGAAATGTAACCATAATCAGGTAGTTTTGACAACATTTTAAACATTACCACAATCTGTGACTGCCTATTTTCTTTTATTTTTGGCTTGCTGTATTTTTGTTGTGCTTTTCATTGCTGTAGTATATTGCATTTTGTATGCTGTGTAAAAGTTATTTTTGCTGTATGGTCCTTCTTAAGGCATAGAAAAACAAACTTTTAACATAGTTCTAAATGTTATAGATGTGACATGGTAAAGATCAGCAAACAAATACCATTTCCTAATGAATGTAGGTATATATACAGTGCAAAACAGGTCAGAGAGGAAATATAGGGCTGCATTTTACACTGTTTTCATTATATTACCCTTCTCCAAACTGTCCAAAAATTCTAACCGCTTCACTGCAAAAAATGGAAATCTAAATAAGTCATTTTTTCTTAAAATAAGTGCATTTGTTTTTGAATTGAGGAGATAAGTGAGATACTTTGCCAATGGAACAAGAAAATTTACATTTAAAATGAGAAAAAGCAACCGCATTGTCTTATTTCAAGTGCATATTATCTAATAATCTTATTTTAAGAGTAAAAATACTCATTCCATTGGAAAATCATCCCATTTACCTACTAAAATGAAGGGTAAATACGCTTGATTCAAGACATTTTTACTTATTTCTAGACCATTTTTGCAGTGTTCAAATTATTCTTTACATGAAAACAATCAATAATTTATTGCCAGACTTGTAGTTCATTACCAACCTGATTGGTCAGAATGGCTGACAGTATCCAGTTCCCTAAGGCGTGTGTGCCTGTAGCTGGCCAGGTAACGTCGGATCACCTGACATTTGGCAAGAAGAGCCAGGAGAAGAGAGACAGAGATGGCTGTCACCAGTACCCCAATCAACAATTCCCAGTTGTGTTGGGGATATTTTGGTAAATGTCTTACTGTGGTGCCTGTAAGATAGTATCACAGAAAATCACATACTGTGTTCACTTAATGCGATTTAAAATCACACTGCCCATTACTTACGGGTGTGTTTCAGCTCTTAAAAAGTAATTGTAACAGATTTAGAATTGAGACACTTGTTTCATACTGTGATATGTTTCAAGTCCTAATGATGATGTTATACAAGAGAAAATGGTGTTAAATAAGGCATAGAATCAGGCAACTCCAGCGCTGGTGGTCAGCTAAGTAACAGAGGAGGAAAACCTAGGAAAAATTTGATATTGGACTTAAGGTGATCATCTATGTTATTCTACCTATGAATGTTAATTATGGTTTGTTAAACACTGGCAATAAAGTGTAAATATAAAATACTCAAGACACAGCTGCAGAAGTAGAGCTGATGTGACAAACGTTTCAGTAGTGACAGAGTATTAAAGATTAAATAATAAAATAATTAGAATAATCAAAAACCATGACCGTGGCTAAGCAACAAAAGAGAACCAAAGGTGCTGAGAATTGTAATACAGTACTTTTTGTGCTGTAACTTCTACATCATTTAAAAAATGAGGAGAGGGTCATAATTGTAAAAAAAATACACAATGTTGTTTCTGCGTGGTTGAGAGCAACTTTTATCTGGTGGGGTGGGTGGAATCTAAGATTGAAATATGGCACTTATTACTCTCTCAGCTATACTTTTTGTATAATTTACTGACTGAAAGTAGCAATCCATGTATGTGATCAGCCTTGGGTTCTGGTTAACTATTAAGACTCATCATAGCGTTTATGCCAGGTGATTTGATTACCATTTAAGCACAGTAGTGCAACAAAAATTTTGCAATGTTGCTTTTATGAAGTTCAGTCTGGTGCAAAATAAATAAATAAATAAATAAATAAATAAATAAATAAATAAAAAATAAATAAATAAGCATAATTTACAGTAAATAAACTTTTCTATCTGATGGAAACATAAAGTACATTTCTTGGTAGACAGCTAGGGTGACTTTGGCCTTGGTAAAACAAAGTGCACCAGTGCTTGTATAGTACAGAGACTACTCTGGTCCTTCAGGAACTTTGATTCTGTTCCTCTCCACTCATTATCCATTAGAATGACTGGCCAAGTATCAGGCTATAATGTTGCCATGTAATAATTTATTTGCATTTATATATTTTTCATGCCTTTTTTGGAATTGTCAAATTAAAAAGTTATAACCAGAGTTGGGTAGTTCGTTATATGTACCGGTACTAACATTTACTAGAGAAATAATTGGAAAATAAAATGTACTTTTAGGAGTAGGTTTACTGTGCCATACTTTTAGTTTCGCTTAAGCAATATTCTTTTAAAGTATAAAAAAAAGTCCTAAAATCTCTGACTACTCTGTCATCTGTAACTTATTTGAACTATACCAAAATCAGGTAAACATACAGGTTAACAGTAGATATTATCAGTGGAAGTTCTTCACCCTGCCTTAGCATATATACAGTTCTCATTGTAAGGATTGGTTTTCCAAGTTTTATTTTGGGAAAATGGTAAAAGTATTTCTTCTACATGGATTTGTTCTTGTATATTCATGACATTTATTTGTATTCTTTAGGCATTTGAGTCTTTAAAATGCCAGAACTTGCACATAAAGTCTGTTTTCCAGCATCCTTTACAATCATTCAATCTGATGTTATTATCCAACAGTTACTCAAAACTCAAGTAGCCCTTTTACAGAATACTGTTTTACTTTTACTTAAGTAATTTCTTGGATGACTACTTTTTACTATTCCTTGAGCAAAAAATAATGTTAAAGTTTTGCTACTCTTTCTTGAGTACAATTTCTACCCAGCTCTGATTACAGCTGTTATGTTTGGTAAAGTTTTTCTTTATTAATGGGAGGGATTTCTTTAAAATAATAATAATACTTTATTTATAAATGTATTTTTATAATTAATTATTGATATGTAAGAGTAAGTTGCAGCAGTATGAATGTCTGGTGCTTTCTTGCTTTTATTAAAAGCAGTTCTGTGTTAAATCCTTAAGGTGACACAGTTAAATGATATTAGTTAAAGGAAAATGTTCCTCTTACCGTTATTTGTTAGTTGTGGTATCGATGTTTCGTTTATTGATGATGCCATTTGCTGATTATGTCTTTATTTATAACAGGTTTTGGATTTGGATGAAATCTCCCACTGTGGCAATATATCCCAGATAGGTCACTTTGTATTTTGCAACATCCACAGGAAACTCAGGTTCATGCTTTTCATTATTTTCCTCAGCTGTTTCGTGCTACAGTGCGCCCAGTAGGTAAAAGGTGAAAATTATGCCTCAAAAAATGTGCAGAGCATACAACTCTCCAGGTGAGGGAGGTAGCTGGTTGGCTTTCCTTCACCAGAACAGAGCTGCACCTTCAGAGCTCCACTAGATGGCAAAGTTGAGTGACTGGGGACCCACTGGTGCCGACAGATAGGTGGGGGAGAGCTTAAATATACACCAGACTCCCCCTGAAGCACCAAACCAGGTCCTGCAGAAAGAGGAGAGTATAAAATACTTTATACTTGAACTTTTGTACAAGTGACCTTCTTGGCTGCTGAGCTGAGTTAAAAAAAAAACTTAAAAATGCTTCATCAGACTCAATACAATAACATAATCTCAATATGTCGCTCAGTGCATTAAAGTAAAATGTCATCATAAAAAGAGGCTGATTTATTAAAAAGTCATTATTAAGAATTAACTCTCAGGAGTCCATCTGCAGCAGGAAAAGTGTGTCGCAAACAGAAAGTCCCACATTCCTCAAAGGTGTGGCAGCAACACAGAGAAATACCCAAATGAGTATGTGTAGATCTGAGTGCATGTTTAACTGCTCCCTACAATACAGAAGCTGCAGGCTGTTGGGATATCAAAGGGCAATTAAAAGGAAGCCTGCATGCATTATTTATTTTGCAACAACATAAAAGTAAGCTGTTCACATTTATTTATTGAAGCAGATCCGACAGGAAATGTACTCAAATCTAGAACAACTGCAGCATTTGGCACCCTGTCTTAGTCTGGTTTGTGTAGCACAAAACCTGGAAATGGAAACACTTTAAGCATTTCCCTGTCTGGCACAGCTGAGAAAACTTTGTAGATTTGATAAAGTGTGGTGTTAGGTTTACAGAAAATACTCAACATTAACAAGGATTGTTTGAAATGAGTACCTGGGCTTAGTTATTTGGCTCTTTTTGCATGTAGTACGCTGACTTTGTGATGACATCATTTTGGTTGTTGGTTTTCTAAATGCAAATATAAACTTGTTGTCAACAGTAGATCTTTATGTGAAGATATTTACATGTTTCCCTGACATTTGCATCCATGAACCTGCAGGAAAAGTTCTCCTGTATCCAAAGTATAAATAGATGCTCAAAACATCCAGTTTGAATGGAATATAATGACTACGTTACTTTAATGATCTCAGTCAACATATAAATTTGAAAATAAAAGACAGATTAAACAAGCTGTTAAAAAACAGCGAAGCTGTTTCTTTGCACACACAAAAAAAATTCTAAATGCATGTTTTCTACACTGAGGTATCAAATCAAGCAGATTCTGGTTTCATTAGCATTACTAAAAAAAAAAACTATTAGCTAATGATAGAGGCGTAGCCAGAAAATGTTAATAAAGGGGGCCATGAAATAACCAATGTACACTTAGAGGTGGCCAAAAGTGGATAGACGCCAGAACCTCAGGGTCAATCTACAGGTGCTGGTCATAAAATTAGAATATCATGAAAAAGTAGATTGATTTCAGTAATTCCATTTAAAAAGTGAAACTTGTATATTATATTCATACATTACATACAAACTCATATATTTCAGATGTTTATTTTGTTTAATTTTGATGATTACAAATGACAATAAATGAAAATCTCAAATTCATCATATCAGAAAATTAGAATATTGTGAAAAGGTTCAAAATTGATGGCCCCTGGTGCCACACTCTAATCAGCTAATTAACTCAAACCACCTGCAAAAGCCTTTAAATGGTCTTTCAGTCTAGTTCTATAGGCTACACAATCATGGGGAAGACTGCTGACTTGACAGTTGTCCAAAAGACGACCATCGACACCTTGCACAAGGAGGGCAAGACACAAAAGGTCATCGCTAAAGAGGCTGGCTGTTCACAGAGCTCAGTGTCCAAGCACATTAATAGAGAGGCGAAGGGAAGGAAAAGATGTGGTCGAAAAAAGTGTACAAGCAAGAGAGATAACCGCACCCTGGAGAGGATTGTGAAACAAAACCCATTCAAAAATGTGGGGGAGATTCACAAAGAGTGGACTGCAGCTGGAGTGAGTGCTTCAAGAACCACCACACACAGACGTATGAAAGACATGGGTTTCTGCTGTCGCATTCCTTGTGTCAAGCCACTCTTGAACCACAGACAGCGTCAGAAGCGTCTTGCCTGGGCTAAAGAGAAACAGGACTGGACTGCTGGTGAGTGGTCCAAAGTCATGTTCTCTGATGAAAGTAAATTTTGCATTTCCTTTGGAAATCAAGGTCCCAGAGTCTGGAGGAAAAGAAGAGAGGCACTTCATCCACGTTGCTTGAAGTCCAGTGTAAAGTTTCCACAGTCAGTGATGGTTTGGGGTGCCATGTCATCTGCTGGTGTTGGTCCATTGTGTTTTCTGAGGTCCAGGGTCAACGCAGCCACATACCAGGAAGTTTTAGAGCACTTCATGCTTCCTGCAGCTGACCAACTTTTTGGAGATGCAGATTTCATTTTCCAACAGGACTTGGCACCTGCACACAGTGCCAAAGCTACCAGTACCTGGTTGAAGGACCATGGTATCCCTGTTCTTAATTGGCCAGCAAACTCTCCTGACCTTAACCCCATAGAAAATCTATGGGGTATTGTGAAGAAGAAGATGCAATACACCAGACCCAACAATTCAGAAGAGCTAAAAGCCACTATTAGAGCAACCTGGGCTATCATAACACCTGAGCAGTGCCACAGACTGATCGACTCCATGCCACGCCGCATTGCTGCAGTAATACAGGCCAAAGGAGGCCCAACTAAATACTGAGTGCTGTACATGCTCATACTTTTCATGTTCATACTTTTCAGTTGGCCAACATTTCTATAAATCCTTTGTTTTTATTGGTCTTCAGTAATATTCTAATTTTCTGATATGATGAATTTGAGATTTTCATTTGTTGTCATTTGTAATCATCAAAATTAAACAAAATAAACATCTGAAATATATGAGTTTGTATGTAATGTATGAATATAATATACAAGTTTCACTTTTTAAATGGAATTACTGAAATCAATCTACTTTTTCATGATATTCTAATTTTATGACCAGCACCTGTATACTGTTACAACAGAAAAATTACAAAGCACAACATCCATATTTTCTAAATAAAGACTAACCACACTATCCTTCAGCCTTTTCTAACAAATAGACTTATACACTCACCGGCCACTTTATTAGGTACCCCATGCTAGTAACGGGTTGGACCCCCTTTTGCCTTCAGAACTGCCTCAATTCTTCGTGGCATAGATTCAACAAGGTGCTGGAAGCATTCCTCAGGGAGTTTGGTCCATATTGACATGATGGCATCACACAGTTGCCGCAGATTTGTCGACTGCACATCCATGATGCGAATCTCCAGTTCCACCACATCCCAAAGATGCTCTATTGCATTGAGATCTGGTGACTGTAGAGGCCATTTGAGTACAGTGAACTCATTGTCATGTTCAAGAAACCAGTCTGAGATGATTCCAGCTTTATGACAAATCCCAGTAGATCAGCAGTTTCTGAAATACTCAGACCAGCCCTTCTGGCACCAACAATCATGCCACGTTCAAAGTCACTCAAATCACCTTTCTTCCCCATACTGATGCTCAGTTTGAACTGCAGGAGATTGTCTTGACCATGTCTACATGCCTAAATGCACTGAGTTGCCGCCATGTGATTGGCTGCTTAGAAATTAAGTGTTAACGAGCAGTTGGACAGGTGTACCTAATAAAGTGGCCGGTGAGTGTATATTTAAACATCCATGCTTTCTAGATAAAAGGTATAGTGGATAAAAAATGTTCAGGTTTAAGTTCTGGGGCGAACATCTTTTCCATTTTCGTTGCTTACGTACTTTTATCAATAATCATCCTGTATAAAACTGATATTTACAAGTACAAATATCTACATAAATTGATTATTTAATATGTTTTTATCAAAATAGTTATTTGTTCATGATTTCACCAAAGAATCCTAGATGATAAGCAGAGACATATAATTTTCTCTTTACCACATATACGCAAAATCTAGTTCTGAAAAGTGCATGAAATCTGTACTCATCATCTTTAATGTTAGTATATAGAGGTGCATCATTAACCACCGTGTTTTTGTTTTCAAGTAATTGTTAATATATGAAAATTTTAAATGTTTAGAATTTTCTACTTCAGAGTATTACTGCTGCCACCATCTGTATTAGAGGGAAAAAGTGGTAGGGGTGGCCACAGGGGTGGCCAATGATTGCCTAAGGGTGGCCATGGCCACTTTTTAAAGATCCTAAAATTTTAATTAATTTCCTTTGTTCTTCAAGAACTTTTCTTTAATCTGTTAAGATTTTAGGGAATTGTCACACAAGTTCCCGATACTATGAAACTTTGTTATTTTCTTCTTGATTGAACTGGTTTTTACTCCAACACGATCTTATTTACCTCTCTGCCCACAAATTTGACTCTCTGATGTTAGTCATTTTATAACTAATTTGGTTCTACTTTATGTTTGGGTCATTGTCCATCTAAAGGAAGGACATTTTGCCTAAGTTTCAACTTCCTGGCTGATGTGTAAAGATGTTGCTTTAATATTTAAACTTAGTGCTCCTTTGTGACAAAGCCATTTTGTTACATGATGCTGTGATCTCCATTCTTAACAACCTGGATGGTGTCCTAAGGGTTGTATTCTCTCCCTTTTCTTTTCCAAGTGTGATGGTGGTTTTGTTTTCTAATTTTTAGTGACATTAAACTTCAGGACGGTGATCATGCCTTTCAGCCCATACTGTACCACCACTTGTTTTACTATGGAGGACATCCTCTTAGCAGTTTTAACGTGTATATTCAGAGGGTTTTACTGTAAGTTTTGATTCTGGGAATTTAATGTAATTTTTTTGATAAAAAATTATCATCTCTTGGACAAAGAGCACTTCTTCTTCAGAATGGTGCCCAGGGTATCATATAATTTATATTAGGTTTACAAAGCCTCATCACTTGAGCTTTCTAAAATTGGAAATGGGGGAAAAAAAAGAAAATTCTTCATATAAATGTCTTACTTCAAAGAAATTAACAAAACAATCTCTAAAAAAAAAACCTTTTGTCATTATTTTGTAATTTAGAAAGTGGAAGAAATCCTTGCTGAGCAAAAAAAACAAAACAAGGAAAAACTGTGTTTACATTCAACGTATGAAAGATTATTTGATATCTTTTTTTATACTTTATTTGTAAATGTATGGTTTAACTGTTTGTAAATTTAAGGTTGCAATGCTG